AAGAACAAAAATTAGCAAGCTGAAATTCGCTGTCAGGCATGTTCCAATCAGGGCCACTCCACAATGACAATTTCATGTTTGGGCCACCGATCAAAATAACCCAATTTCTATTCACTCTTTTATCTTATGAGGTATCGATACCACAGCGGTATCATCGCACGAAATTCATGTATTGAGTAAGCGATACCAATATCGAAACTGTTGATTTAACGCAGATAAAGAATTACTTCGAACACTGAGCTTTTAATTATTAGTCCATATGCCGGGTATGTATAGTTTGTGAAATCTTGTATACTCGCCGAACACGGTGGATATGTCACTCGAGAACGGTTGTTTTCAATGGCCGTGCAAGCTTTCATAAGTAACGTTTCATTAAGTAAGGTTTAATTATTATAATCTTGCTCATTTGCATTATTATCGAATACATTTTGGAATGAACAAGATAACAGTGGTAGCGCCTATTGTCATCAGACATTGAACAGTGGTTCAATGTGTTTGTTAGTTTCTACCTTACAATATCTGTACCAGTATGCATGAAATGTTACCACTACCATAAGGAAGGCAAAACTAAACTGGAGCTACACACTCGTTTTATTGAGTTTAAACAAATGAATTTTATGGAGTACGTTTTGTGATAAAGTTTGATATCAGCACGTATTTTTTTGCTATCCCATCTAAATAGGAATGTGAATTAGGTGGCGCAAGGGTTAACTAAAATGAGAATACGTTTTCAAAGTAATCTTGTCGCATGCCACGTCATGTTTGAATAATAACATGTGATTTACATATTTATCCCGAGGAAGAGGAAAGCCGATAAAACGACATAATCATAGGGTGGACCACCGCCTCTCGCACGGTTACCATTCCAGTTCGAGTATGGGATTAGTTAGCCAGGTATTTGTTTTCCTCTCGCAGATGATCATCCCCGTATGGGATTCGAAACTGCGAACCCACACAGGGTAATCAGAGATGCGATGGCGAGCGTATTCCTAACGCTTTGCATGATGCGCCACACCGCCGAGCAAACTTCAATGAAACTCATTACTTATCGATTTTATTCGGTTAGTATGTTGATAGGTATTTGTCTGTCTGTATGTCTGTATGTATTTTTGTTTGTCTGTCTGTTAGATGCACGCGATATCTCACGAAACCGAGATTGAATTAAACCGAGTTATTGATTAATTAGTGATGGGACACAAGGTGTCACTATGGAGTAAGAGCGCTGTTTTGGGGGATCCCCTAACTTTCGATCGATAAGTCTTCGGTCTCTGACCGATATTCTCGTATTAACATTTACCGAAACGATTTAATGTCACGAAAAACTACTGCTAAAAAAACGTTTCCGATGGACCAAATTTAAAAAATTTACTTTTAAACGAGGCAATTCCGATCACTGAATGTAAATGTTCGCGTGCTAACCAATTTCATAGCTGAAATTTATTTATTTTCATGTTTGAGAATGCTTGTTCACAACTGTAAGTGCTTCAAATTCAGTGAAAATTCATATCAACTTCTCGGTGTTAGCGTGCGTTATTGAGATTTGTTATAAACAGAAATATTACTTTTCACCAAACCGCCAGCATGCCATGTGTGCGCTTTTAGCGTGTCACATTTGGCAACCCTTGTTGTGCACCCTTGGGTTAGTTTTGCTGCAGTGACTCAAAAATTTCGTGCCCACTTGTCAAACTTTTACCCACAGTTCTGAATATATATTTATTTATTGTGGGGCAAATGATCCAAGTAAGCATACGAAGTGCTATGTTCTAGGTTTTATATATGCATTGCTTTGGCAGGATAACTGTGGGACAAGAATTTTTTGTATCAATCACGTAATAAAACTTTCTTTCTATGCTTGCTCTAATGCAATCATTTGCTTCAAGTTCTTTCTAGAACTTTTTTTTACTACTATACAACTCGAGGTTCAAAACAACCGACAGAGCAAAAGATTTCTGTGCTTTTAACAAAACGTCTTCACTCGCTCCAAATAGTTCAAATACCGGTGCGATAAACTGTTGAAACTGGAGTTAAGTATCTCTAATATTTAAAGTACAGGGTGTCTGGCTACGATAAGTTGTCAATATTTTCCCAAATGTTGGGAAAATAGGCTACAACTGTGTTTTCGCTGAATTCTTTTTTCACTTTGCTATAAAGACTTTACAAATTATCATTCCTCATTTGATCAAAACGACGTCCCCAGCCTCAACCATAAAAGGAGTTTGCAGGGGAGGTGAACGCGTATCTATTTAGATCAGGGTGGTCCAAACTCAGGCCCGCGGGCCAAATGTGGCCCGCAGATCCATTATCTGTGACCCGCGTCACATTCGGAGAGTAATCAAAAAATCGCATTTCGTGTTGTTTCGCAATAAAATTACAACTCATCATCAGAAATATCTTTTTACATATTGTTACATCAAAAATGTCACTGAATTGACTAGTGTTATGGCTAGCCGAGGCAACTAGCAAAGTTGAATGATGTGCTTGGCAGTCTAAATTACTATCTGGCTATATTTTTGGTAGGGGATTAAATGCTAACAATATAGGCATCAAAGAAAACTAAAAATCGAATGCGGATTCTATTAGCCCGGGATGGCTATGTCTGAGAACTATGTGTTTGCACAATGAAAGTGTTTGTTTTGTATTGCACTGTTCACCTATTCTAAGCACTATTGTGGCGAACAATGCAAAAATAATTTTGAGGCCCGCGGAGCCGACAACCTTGAACCACCCTGATTTAGATACTCTGGTACGAGAGACTGGAGGTTATAACAAAGATCTGAAGCTTGACCCCGAATTCGGGCCGGATCGAAAATATCAATCATTACGTTCGGGTCTGGTCGGGCTTCTCTATCGCTGACTTTTTTTTAAATGATGCGTTTCGGCCATGTTTTGGTCACGAGAGACCGTGGTCTGCAAAAAAACAGAAGTTGCCTCATCAACACGACACGTACTGTACTAAAAACTCTTGTAATGACAATTCAAAAATCTCCTAAATAAAATATAAAATTTCGAGTTTGCTTTGGACTCGGGCCTGCAAATCCAGTTTGTTAGTCGGGCTCGGGTCGGATTTAATACCCACGGGCCTGGGTCGGGCCGGGCTGTAATGTTTGGGCCCGATCTTGCCTCTATTGCAGGTTTGGTACAATTTAGCAGATTTACCAGTCTTGAATATCATTATCTCAAAAGAAGCTTTCTACGAGTTCCCTCAAACACGTTTGAAGTTGATATATTTGGAAATGATCCAATTATCGATTCAGCATGGGTTAATTCAATGCTTCGTAACCTGGATTCGATTGAGCTGTTCTATGAGGGTCCTCTGAAAGAGTTATAAATAAAGAAACCTATTTTAACCAACTTTTCAATTAAGCAAATGTAACTGTAGTTCATCGCAGATATACAAACCTAGATAGCGATCGGGTGACCGCCACTTATTGATCTGCCGCATGTTCCCTTCGCTCTGACTCAATAGCGACACCGCGTGTCTCATCACTAATCATTTGATAACTTGCTGATTATACGACATAATCTATAGGCTTTTAGTCCGAGATATGATGAATGCACATTAGAGCTAAGATCTGGAAACCCGAGCCCGACACGACATTTCGGGTCGGGTCGGGCTTTCTCTGTCGCTGACTTTTTTTGAAATAAATATATGTTTATAAAATAATCTATGTGTGGATACTAAACAAAGCAATACTTGTTATAAAAGAATTAATTTGAATAAAACAGAGAAGACGCTGTAATGGACCTTTCCCCGACCTTTGAATCCCGAAAATATTCTTCCTATACCTTACCCGGCTCGGGCCTGCAAATCCAGTTAATTGGTCGGGGTCGGGTTTAACACCCACGGGCACGGGTCTGGCTCGAATTTTTGGGCCCAATCTTACCTCTAATGCACATGCAAAATTTGGAGCAGATTCAACCTCGCTTTCGTGAGATATCGCGTAACATCAAGAAGTGAAACAAACAAACAAATATCTATCAACATACTTACCGATCGAGATCGATAAGTAATTACACGTTTACCAATTCTCACGCCAGGGCGTTCTCTTTCATTATAACGCTTTTACGTGCGAAATATCTTCGGTTTTGAGCTAAATAACCTAAAAAGCCTACAAATATATTGTAACTCAAGTTCGCGGACACGTCGAACATAGGAAGAGAGTGAATATGAATAATATAAAATCCGGGCGTGTTCGAATTTCACTAAGTAATAGTTTGTGGTGAAAAACATTTTATTGCACGGCAATGATCAAAATTATCCAACACTCGTCCTGGGCAACCTCAATATGGATAGATAGAACTCTATTCACGTAAAACAATAAACAAACGGCTTTATTCGCATTCAATGCAGTTTGAATTCTGAAAATAACTTGAGCTACCAACGTATTTTTCAATATAGCTAGCTATACACGGAAAGATCTCTGGAGCAACCGGATAATGATGGACACCCGAAATGTTTGAGATTTGTTTGATTAAAAAAACGTCTCGATAGGTGTTGGCGAAAGGGGATATGAAACTTTAAACGCGTTGTGGTGGGCAATGATAGGAACCATCAAATGGCAACCCATTTTACCAATGTTTAGTTTTTAGTAGTTTATTTTTTCACCATACTGAAAATTTTACACTTTGTACATGAACAGTGCAGACAACGACGCAAGAAATGCATAATAAGTTGCGGCTCTCATCTGCAAATGAGTCGCACCATACGTTGAAGGGTTATGAAACGATTTGTGGGCAATGATAGGAACTAATAAATGGCCACCATCTCACGCAGTGTTAGTAACCAATAGTTTATTTTACATTAGATTAAAATACACATTTTATATACGGTAATTCGGAGCGAGGGTAAACGCGATGTCGCACAACGACACCTTCAATGTATAATTAGTAAAGAGTAATTGAGTTCCAATGTTGACCTGAATAATTTGAGTATCGCTGAATAAAATTATATTTGCAATTGCAAATCACGCCAAAAAAATTTTTCAGCTGTTGTACATGAACACCTGTTTCAATCAAACATGTTTGATAACTATATCAGTAAAAATTGTCAAAGATCGAAGTATCTGTAAGTTATAGCATTCAAAAAAATTTGTTGAAGAGTTCTAAAATTCAGTTCTTGTTTATAATGAAACATTCAAAGTAATGAATGCCCCTTTATTGATGTTTTTTTCTATCTAGTGTTCCAACAATTCTCCAGGAGTTCACAGTGAAATCAAATTATTGTGCTCTTTGACCTATTTCAGCAACAAACAATTACAGAATCCAAGTATTGGATAGTAAAATGAAAACTTGATATTTATATATATATAGCTGATACAATGTTGTATTTGGGGCAGTGGTTCTCAAACCTTTTTTCTTTTGTGGCAAACTTTCGTCGAACAAAAATTCCGTGGCCAATTTACTTTCTTCAAAACTATAAGAGAAATACAACGAGAAAAACAAAAACTCTTCAGTTTAAATGTAAATTACCACTCAGTCGCAAAAACAACATCATTATTTATTGCTACTACAATCAAAACTAATTGATTTATAAAAACTCCAGCAATTTTCAATAGCTGCGTGGCCCAGCAGTGAGCCATGGCCTACTGGTCCTGGGTTTGGCAGCCATAGCTTGTGCCATAAGCGCCGTTTCGACAGGGGCACCAAAAATTCATCATGCTGGACATAAAAAATCGAATCGCTTCAGCTACAGCATTTTATCGTGGTCGAATGATTGCTTATTTAGGGACTTGATTAAGTGAATGCCGCTGAAAAACACTTTTAATAACTAATACAAAGAATATAATATATACTTTCGCTGCACGGCACAAGTATGATAAAAAATAAAGTAATAGTAAAATGTTTTCAATCGAAATATAAACGGCGGCGCTAGAGTGTGTGCGCGATTTTATTTTTTTACAATACTGGAAATAAAACCCATTTTACACGAACAGTGCGGAATACGACGCCTAAAATGTATAATAAGTTTCGCCCCTTATCTAAAATAAGTCTCACCATACGTAAAGAGTAATTGAGTATAGCAGAATAAATTTGTGTTTACAATTGCAAATCACGACAAAAGAAAACATTTTCCGCTGTTTTAATCAATCATGTTTAATAAGTAAATCAGTAAAGTTGTCAAACATTGAAGTAAAATTATAGCATTTAAAAATATTTGTTGAAGGTTTTAAAAATCCGGTTCTTGTTCATAATGGAACATTCAAAATAATGGATGCCCCTTTCTCGATGTTTTTTCTACCCAGTGTCCCAACAACTACCCAGGAATTCACAGTGAAATCAAATTCTTCTATTGTGCTCTTTGACCTATTTCTGTAATAAACAACGACAGAATCAAAGTATCAAATAGTAAATCCAAAGCTTGATATTTATATAGCTGATACAGTGATGTAACTAGGGTATGGCAGTCAGCGGTCGTGGCGCCGTTTTGGATAGTGGTGCAAAAAGAGAAAAAGGAAATAACATAAAATACTTCTATTTAAATAATAACGTAGACTACAATCATCTCAATACAACAACAGTCGCTAAATATTGTCAGCCAACGAAGGAGCATTTCTAAACTTTGCTATCAGGCTCCATTTTACGCAGATACTCAGCTGATATATATCATGATAAAACCGCGTTCAAACTCACCTTTCAACAGCAACTATCTTCTCCTCAATAACACAAGCGTTGAAATGTCCTCTTGAATTGTTTAAACAGGAAACAGTGGTCCACTTTCAGAAACAGTGTCGAAGCATTCCAACATATTTAAGTATTCATCGGTGTATCCACCTAGTCAAATAAAATTATCGTGGAGATATAGAACAATTTCAAATTAGAATATTTGCAAGATTTTGCCGCGAAACAAGTCAACTAGTGAGTTTTTGTCGATTGCAATATCACATTTAAAGCTTCTAATCGCTGAACCAAAAAGAATCGGAAATTATGGAAAGTCTTTAAAATATTTTATAGCCTTGCTAGTAATTTGTGGAGATGAAAACCAAGTGAATTGCTTTTAAAAAAATCATTTTTGATCTAAATGGCTTAAGCTAATTTTTATAAGTCTAATATCAATAATATCGCAGTCAATGACTGTCAAATTGTAGAAGGCTTAGTTGCTGCAATCTAAGATCTAGTACATGGGCGGCACAAAATATGCTACAAACTAAATTCTCACCTATAACATAAATCTTTCCATCGAGCTCAACTGCAGCTGCACGATTTCTTGCATTTGTCATTGGGGGAGTGTTGTCCATGTTGAATCTGATGGTTTGAACATTACCGTATTTGATAGATTTCCTTCATTGTATCCTCCGATACAGTATATGAAACCTCAACAAACAAAAAAATCAAACTACGAATACGTTTTAAAATTGACAATCAGTTCCTCCAACATAACTGATACATGAAACAAGCAATAACCGTTTATTAACTTGGCCATTCCACCACAATACTGCAATTGGAGAAACCCATTAAGTTTTTATTTTTCTCATCCTGAATCGAATATTCTCCAAACGTCAGAAAATGCGCTATGATCATCGTTAGATTGCCATAACTAAAACTTTGATCATACGTATGATATCAATTTGAATCGTGGGATAGCTTGCCCAATAAAAAATAGTTTAGTACTATGGCCTGAGCACTCTCTATAGTCCAGAGTACTGGAGTCGAATAATTTAATCACTATTCGAATACGTTTAGAAATAATATTTGCGACCATTCGAAATACCATACTCACTTTCTACAGTTTTCAGAAACGGAGTTTCTTTACGTTGTCCTGAGACACTCGAATTGCTAAAAATGTTTACTTCACAGATAAAAAGACTCAAAATTATTCCGAAAACTAAGAATTTAAAATATTAAATACATTCAATTTCGAATCAATACCAATATTCAATTGTTTTGAAGATATTAGATAGAATCAAATAAAGTGTGTGAAAATTCAATTATTATTCCAACTGGACTAAAAAAAATACTTGATTTAATATTATAGCACCAAGAAGTGACCCCCTCTGCGTTTTTTGGTGACTCGCCAACGCACGAATTAAATAAAAAACAAACCAACAAATACGTGATAAAAATTGATAAAATCGACTCTAATTAAACTATTATAATGTACCATCAGTTGGGCAGCCAGGGCAATTAAATTAACGTCGGTTCTTTCATCAATTATTTTTCACTCAAATGTTTGTATATTTCTTGCAATAATTTGATATGGCCAATCACGGAAAAACATGGTCACCTTTCGATCTGCGATGGTTTTCTGATTATCTGAATATTAGGTAGTATATATCTTAATCGAACATACCTCCTACAACTAGTATTGATGTGGAACACCCTTCCACAGGTTTATCAGTGACATGAGACCAAGTTCCACCAGATGGATCAAATTTCTCAACTGTTTTGCTGGTGTCGCAAGAGTCATCAAATGCATAGATTGAACCTGGTTGTTAAAAAATAAATGAAATGATTCAAATGCAAAGATTGAAGAAAAAAGTAATCACAGAATTACTATTGAAAATTTTGCCATTTCAGTTAGTCAATTCCACGAAGTATATATTAATTTGAAATAAAATATTTTTGAGTTAATGGTGATCTTTTATCCATAAGAACATAAAAATTTGTATATTCCACTTTAAATCAGAATCTTTAAACTTATTCATACCAACCTTCAAATGCAATAACTGCCACACGATTCTTTGTCAATCTCGATCTGCCAATCTAACCCATGTAGCATTGGTATCAGTATAATTTAGCTGATAATTGGTTCCATCGAACACAAGAACATAGATTATGTCATCAAGTGCTACAGCAGTGAAGTGTTTGCCAACGAAGTCAGCACTGATGCCCTGTTGAATAAGATTGCAGGATTTAATTTGAGTCAAGGAAACCATGGTAGACATTTCAAAGCTTGTGTTGTTGAAGGGAAGATATTTGCTGTTAAAAGGTGAGTTTGAACGCGATTTTATAATAATCATGGATACGGCTAGGCATTTTCGAATATATGTCAATTTCAGAATCGAGTCGAAATTATTTCGAATTGAGTCTCGAATAAGTGTACGAGATTTTTTTGTGATGGGTCCTCCAGACACATCAATCGATGAAAACACGTGATTTATCCTTCAGACAGTTTGCTGAGTGTTCACACACATAAGAAACATGTTTCAACAATAGGGAGAAAAGAGTCAAATGTCAGAATTGCATTTTAAAATAAGACTTGAATAAAAAAAGAGTAATTAACCTCAACCTGCATGCAGATATCAGAAAACAAGATGACGTCAATTCGAAATTGCCGACCGAACCGATTCGAATAATTTACTTTTCCATGCGAAATGCCCAGCCCTAGTCATGATAACCATGGTCGGAATTTAGGACTTTTGAAGCAGGACTAAACAAATTTTTATTTACTGGTATTGTAGTCAAAGAGCCTTTAAAGAATGTTACTTTACAAACCTGGAGTTTGGTCCAGGTTTTTGTCTTTGGATGAAATGCATGAATTGATTTTGATTTCATATCAAAAACAGCAATTGCTGAAGAATAATAAGGAACTGTAAACATGAATGAAAAATAAACGCGACCATCAACCAACATAGTTGTTTACTCGAACTAACGATGGTTAACCACACACATACTTTTATTTAAGGTTTGTACTTTTCAATGAAGTGGATCAATTAGGTAATCAAATAACAGTTCACATCATAAGACTATGAACTTATGTCGCAACCTTACAGCAAATAATACTGATATTTAGTTTCCTACAAACTTACCGTTAATCGGCTTGGCAGCATCTGAAAAAGTAAGAAAAGTTGTATATAAATTATTAAACCTGTGGAATCAAAAAAATCGTAGATACGAAATCATCAAATGAAAGTTGGTTTACTCAAAATTTTTTGACGTTATCAAAACCAATAAATATACTTACTTGTGATGTCAATGTCTTCAGCTACGATATTTGATCCACCAGTTGAAGTATTCATCAGTATTGCATGGTGACGTGAAGAATCAAAGACCAGAGGCTGAATCATAAAATGAAGTCCATTGTCACTGAGTGTAATATCACTTAGCCACAAGGATGAAATGAAGTGAAAAATAGTGTTCACTGTGCATTCAATGTGAACAAGACACAAAACTGGTGGTCAACAAAGTAACGAATGTCGTTATTTTTTTGGAATGTGGCAAAGTACAAAGTAAGAAAACATATCACAAGTTCAGTAATGTCCAGTATTCCACTACATGGATTAATTATCTAACTATCATTGATGCTAAATATGAATTCTCCAACCTCTTTCTCCAACAAAAACTTTTGATATTTCTCTGATATCTTCGCCAAATCTAGATTTTCAAATAATTTTACAAATGTTGATGTTCGAGTTACTACATCAAAGTTGCTCCAGATAATCAAAGCTTTGCACTTGACCTCTTCAGTCGCCTACAATTGGAAATGGAAGACATATAAATTTGTAGGAATATGGATGATATAAGCTTGTACCTGGGTGTATTTGCTGAATAAGATAATGCTGAATTTCTAACGATAATGATATCGAATACATTATAATTTCATATATAATTACAATAAACATTATAATAGCAATTTTATATATCTTACATTGATTACTTTTGATCCAAGCAGGAAGGAAACATATTCTACATCCAAATGTTTGAAATCGTTTTCAGAGACAATTGATTGGAAATTTCTCAGAGCATATTTGTTGCAACTTTCAATTAAATTAATGCAGTTGAAAGTGCTTGCGATCATTTTTGTGGAATAGAACGATTTTGGACTCAGTTCTTTCTCAAGAGATATTGCAATTTTGTCGCACAAGCCTGAATATATTTAAAAAGTAAGGTAGTAATTTTGATTCATATTGGTTACGATTATGATCCAGACATTGATGGAATTGGTATAATTTGAAACTGCATCCCGCGTGACCGGAATCGAAACGTGGACTGTGGCAACGTGAATTGAAGACATGTGAACCGTTGGGCAGGAGATGTAAACAAGCTATAGCTTTTCCTGCTACTTAATCTATATCTCAAATTTTAAATAAAGATTATTGTGTTATAGTGTTACCGATTTAAAAATAATAAACACAACCTATATACCTTGCAACTGGAGCATATGAGCGGTATGCATAAGTTGTTCACTGTCGGCAGTTGAAACATGACCGGTGTATATATAATCGATGCAAGATTTTACACTTGAGTATTGAACCTCTTTCATTACCACAACGCCACTGCTGCTCTCAACGTTCTGCAATATAACACAGTCGATTCGATTTAATCTCTTCAATATACATTCTACTCATCATAAACGGGTGAACGTTGACAATGGTTTATTATTGCAATCATGTGGAACAGTTGAGGTAAAATATAATGGATGAGGATAGACATATTGTATTAGTAACAAGTAAACATCACTTTTATTTCTCCACATAGTATAACAGTATAACACAACACTCACTTCATGAGACAACATTGCACGAAAATAATCTGACCCTGCAGACAGAACATTCCTGTGTGCTGGTATTTTCTCATCTCCGACCATAATTGCGAAGTCATTATGGTCTTTGCTTTCTCTTTGTCTGAATTAAAATAAATACTGGTAACTCGGGTAGATTTGGAGTTTGCATCCACAGCATCAATATTTTTTTTAATTCAACTGCAGAGTAGAGCAAATAACACAGCTTGATCAGAAATGAACCACAACCCCTAATCTAGTTGATTGGATACAAAAATAGCTACCTGTTAATCATCAGATGCACCGGTCGATTTATCACAGACCACACATCGTGTGATCAGGAAGAGCGTGGGGTTTCAGTTACATTTCTCCAACTAACGGGCTAAAGAATACGCTTGCCAATGCATCTATGATTACCCCGTGTGGACTCAAAGGTTCGAATCCCATTGGAGGATAATTATGTGCAACAGGATTGCTGGACTCATCGCCACCGTGGGGTGGTTCACGTAACCGCTGGCTAAGGCTTCCTCCCCCACCAAATCCATGCATCTGAAAAATAACTGCCTGCCACGATATGAACTGGTAACCGAACGTGGTGCCGTGTTCGCCATTTGATTAGGCCGTCTCATCGGCTTTCCCCTTCCTCGGGATGAATATGTAAAACCTAACCTAACTTGCAATGTCAACATAGCTATACACAACACCATGACCACAATGGTGATATTCTGACCAGTCATGTTCCTATAATTCCCACCGAAATAGTATTAAATAATACTAAAATAAACTTCTTCACGAAACCTGTGAAAAAGAAACATAGACCACCGTCTAGGGTTGTCGACATATCGAACAGAAGCTAACAACATACAAACGAGTTCAGATCACGTGTCTACCACCTCACCCATAGTGCTATAAATTGGGAAGACAATGTCCAAACAGAAAGATCCTGTTCCCTTCGAAAAATAGAACTCCTCATACATTGTAGGATATTAAAGGCTGCTTACGGAGGGCATTGTTGAAGTTTTAGATGAGAATAAACATCATTCAAAACTATCAAAAATGACAAACACATAACAAAGTTTCCAATAGAATTTGACTATTCCGACCAGTCACGCTACAATAATCACTGATAATAATGGCCACATGGTGATAGAGTAGACCAGCGGTCGGCAACCCCTGGCACGCGTGCCAATTGTGGCACGCGAGAGGATTTCTCATGGCACGCCAAGCGATTTGAGCCATATTCAGATATTTATTTTTGTAATGCGACAAACCTTCTACAATTGGACAAAAAATAACAAATCGACAAATTCATTGAAAAAACGTGCAATATTTAACTGCAATCGACGAGAGGCCAAAATCTGCACTCAAAATCGGTGTAGATAAGCGTGTGCAGTCGATCATACCACTTTACTTTTGCCCAGAATTGAAATTCGCTGACAGTTATTATACAATCAATCGAAGCTAAATACAATTGGCCATTAGGTATGTTTATCTCATATTTTTACAACAAAAGATTGAGTGGTATTTCAGACTAATAATGTTTATATTTTGACGCAAGAAGACGTTACCGCGAGTTACGTTAAACAGAAATTATATCAATATGGAAGAAAGTTTTAGATTCTCGTAGCTGTCATGAATTGAATATTTTACTAGACAGAAAAGTTGGTATACGCTGAAAAACTCGGGCCTTTTTAACGGACAAGTAATCGCGGCGACTGTTTCATAAGGGGATGGAAATTTTCGATTTTGAAACACACCCGTTCGAAAATCCTGACTGCGCGCCTGGCTGATTTTCATCATTTCACCGTGAGCTACATGTAGCCCTAACAAAAACGATGAAATAAAGGCGCTCCGTAGTATGTGCACCAAGATGGCGGACATCGGAACGTAGAATGTGTACCAGGTTCGGGTTAGGGCATAATTTCATTTTCCTTATTTCAGTTTTATTACGAGTTTGGGGACTAGCCAAATGACTCCCGTAGTATTTGTACCTGAAATTATGGCCCAACCCTAACCTGGTACACACACTACGTTCCGGTGTCCGCCATCATAGTTCACATACTACGGAAGTACCAAAATAAATTTCATCCTCTTTTGTAGTTATTGCGATTTCATTGTTTCTGGCTACAAAACTAATTGCAAGTGGCTTTAATACCTATTACTTAAGTCGTGCAAAGGCAGGTAGGATGTAGAAATGCTGTATGCCGAAATCTCTCGTAAGATAGTTTCCATGCACGTTATCTAATAATATGAATTTGTTTCTCATGTAAGCTTGCTATTCAAATCAGGTAGTTGGCTATGCAAACCATACACACAAACATGTTTGGCACGCGAAGGTGCTCATTATTCATAAACTGGCACGCCGAGTTCAAAAGGTTGCCGACCCCTGGAGTAGACCATGGCTACTCAACTATTTTTACCGAAAATCCGCATACAAAATTTTAAAAATATTTGGGTCCGGTCTTCCCAGAAATTATGTTTCGGCATCCACAAACGCGCACTTCCTCGGCCGTCTAATGATCATTAGATACTCAAGATTGTTTATTATAGCGTTATAGTTCTTTTCATATATATTCAAAACTGTAAAAGTCATTTTATAAAAGGAAACTTCAAAAGTGGGGCTAATGATCCAAAATAAGGAATTAGGGTCGGTCTGAATCAAATACTCGAAAGGTCCGGATTCGGACCACGGTCCGACCGTTGATTAGCCCTGGAGTAAACAGCACAGATTAAAACCGAAATTATTCCATGCAAAATAGCAGAGGACTGAAATTAGTTTATTCTGACCAGTTACGCTTCAGTGATATTTCTTAGTGACTGCGGAAAACTAATCTAAACCGAACTATTTCACCTTTACAAACTTATGGTTTCCAACTGTTCATGCGAAAATTACAGTATATCTCAACTATTTATGGGAACACAAGGGAACAATATTATTTGACTATCTGAATATACAGTATTTGAATTGATCACTTAATGCTCAATACTATCTTATCATTGCCCACTGCTAATTTGTTTAAATTTCAGATTAGAATAATATATAATAAGGTAGTAAATGCTGCGTACAAGTTCTATTCCAGGGACAAGGGGTCGAAAACTTTGCCCATGTAGACTGGCGGGCCATGTAAGTGTGATGTAAAAAGTTACATTTTATGAACAATATTTACAGTGTTACAAAAAAAATGAAGAAAACAATAAGCCTAGTGCGAAAACTAAATTTAATCGAAATCTCAACAAATTCTTTGAGCTATTTTTAGCTAAAACATCAAAATTTGGCTTTTACTTTGGTTGTGGCAGCACCACATCTAGATTGAACTACCCAACAGACCGGATTTGGCTCGCGGGCCATAGTTTGCTCATGTCAGTTCTATCCACTTATATTAATTTAAACTTGTAAATGAAATCCAGATGAGATCTATACACATCTCTAACCCAAATATATGCGCAATGCTTACATGTTTACATACCATCCTGTTATCGCCCCACCACTAATTTCAGTTGATTTTTTAATCTCAAGTTATATTAATGTTTTATCGAGTAATCATCCCACCTTTCTATGTTTATCTTATGTTGTTCAACACTCTGGCTAACATAACTTATCCCTATCTAACTTAAGATAAACTGAATCAATGAAAATATATAAGGAAATTAGTGGCGGGGCAATAACAGCATAGTACCTCATGAACAAAATATTCCGTCGTGCTTTAAAGTGATAGAAATTGCCGAACGATACTGAAATAGACTCCACTCCTGAAAAAAAGAATAACTGACAGTATGGCCAGTAATACTATTTTAAAGGAGTCAATAGAGTAGACGGTGTCAGAACCCATGAATGATATCATGCAAAATAGCAATGGTACTGAAATAAGATTATTCTGGCCAGTTACGCTTCAGTGATAATCTTGTAGAAAATGATATGACTCAAACCTAAAAACCACAAGATCTCAACGTTGTCATTTCCTACAGTTCTCTCATCAAATCCAAATAAAGCATTTGAATTATGACATACAAACTCAAAATCTTGTTTACAGAAAAATCATAGCCTGATCAGAGGGTAATAATTCTGCCAGTTTTTTTTTTGTATTGCCCTTCTGGATAGAACCAGACTTTTTTAAGGCAGAATAAATATATGCTGCGGGAGTGCGAGATACTATATTTCATAATACTTAATCAAACTTCAAGCAATGATAAAAAAAGCAGTGAATTCAACTTAAATTTTATGTACTCAATTATAAATACACAGCAGTTCACAAATATATATTTTCAAATTCCAAGTAATAAGATTAGATAGATACTTCTAAAATAACTGACTACTTTACTTATCGAGCAAAATATAAAGATTTTATCAATAAATTATTAGGACTAGGAAATTTAATTTACTTAATTACACCACCCAGAAGGTATATTATGTCTTATTATGATTCAATGCCATGAGCTGGAATTATTGGACATTCATTATTTCGTTTTTAAACTATTCTGAATCCTAATAGTTTCCATCAATACCATAGGTATATAATATCTAGGTTTATAGTCCACACTAACTTTTATTTGTATAAACTTGCTTGGCAGAATATTCTTTGTGTATTATAAGTGTAATAATTCTGTCAGCGTAGATGCATTTTTTAAAGCTCTTGCAAAATGAGCAAAAAGATTCAGGATTTGATATTATATTTCATGAGATCCTGAATATTCTCAGACTAATTGCAATACAATAGTAACAAAGCAGTAAATTTTACATGAATTTTTATTACTTACTTGTTTAGTGCCATCATCATTTTTCCACAGTGCTTCAAATCATAACCATCAAGAGTTAGATTCATTGTATCAGTTCCAGGTGATTAGAAAGTTATAACTAAACTCACTATGTTTCAGATTAACCAAAATACCTTGATAAATAATAGTTTTACAAATCTAGTTAGATAAACAATAGCAGTAAAATGCTATCCCGGTTAAATTACTATGAGAAGCAGAAGAGCCAACACTATATCACTCAAATCGGACTGGTGAAAACTGTGAAGAACTCGTTAGATAATTGATTTAATGCATCTTTAATCTGACAACCGCAGTTCTTGATTTACGAGTCGATTATGAGGTTCCAGACAGCAGAATCTGATGTAAAAAATATAAAGGGGATTCCCCGTTTAGCCAAACAGTTGTGATTATTCGTGCGTTAAATAAAAAACTTCGCTCACGATGTCGGGTATTCTACATTATATTACTGATTAAAAATATGTAACTGAAGAATAAAATTGTTCGTATTCGTCTCGGGGGAAGGTAAAATGTCTTATTTATTCATTTTATCATAGAGTGACCTAACAAAAACATAAGACCTAAACAAATAGTGCAATCCCGCGACGGGATATTTAAATATACTCGCAGTACTTCCGTAGAAAAAAAAAAAACTAAAATAATCATTTTCATTTAACATTTATTTTACTAGAAATTCTTATAAATTTGAGAAAAACGAGCTTCCTTGGCTCACACCGAATTCCTAAAATTGTGGCGTGGTTTTACTCATGCATAGACGATAGTCTTCAACTTCCTGCTCATTTTGATGTTGCGTTTTCATTACACACATTGCACTAAATCCACAAAACTAGGTTGTTTGCGATGAATTACCTGTTGCAGGGCTACTCAACTGGCGTTCCGAATCCGGACCTTTCGACTATTTGATTAGTACCGTATCTAATTTTAAGTCATTTATCTCACTTTGGATATGTGGAGGTTTCATTTCATTAAATACGATTATAAACATTTCGAATAGCGCTATCTTGATTAGCGAATAGTCATTAGCCTACCGGGAAAGCGTGCGTTCAAGGATGTCGAAATATAATTTTTGAAAAGACCGGACCACAGGAATTTTGAAAGTTCTGTATTCGGTAAAAATAGTTGAGTAGCCCTGATCTATTGAATGACATAGTTTGAAACAGTAGAATACACTTCACACAAGGAATCCCAGAAGTAATTATAAGCCAAGTACTTTGGATACTTTTCTTTGAACAGAAAACTGAACATACAAAAGGAGGTGCAATTTTATCTTCAGCTCTCATGTTTTGTAAACTCTTTTAGAACATGTCGGGACATTTTGGTGAGATTCCCAATTTTTGCTATAAACTTTTATGTTGGAAATACAGTTTTTTAGTTTTGTGAATATGAACTCACCTGAAGATTTTGGCGAATGTTTTGACACTGAGAAAAATTGTCGAAACCGGAGTGATTCATTTCTTTATTTGAATACTAGATATGACAAGGCGTAGTTATTTACCCGAATTTCCAGGAAAATAGGCGGAGAATTATTCTCCAGTTTTGTTTGCACAGGATTAACTGATTGAACATTTTCTCTTCGCTTTCGAGGCTTTTCATAGGGAGATACCCTTTCATAATTATGGTCAAAGCGAGGTACCGAGCCCTTTTTAGCAATGGAATAAGTATTTGCAGGAGAGTTAAAAGGCAGCCACCGTAGCGCAAATATACATAGTTTAGAGTACTTTGGTAAAATAGAATCATTTAAAAGTACAGCGCAGACAAGGTGATTCAGTACCAAGGGGGGGCGGTACTGGTTATCAAGCAACGACATACAATACGTAGCCTATAATGAGTTTCTGCTTCATCTACAAACGGGCCACACCATAACTCAAGCGTTGGTAATAGTGTAGATATGAAAATAACATAACAATAATGTCGGCAGTAATTTCTAAATCTGACAAATGATATCGCTGGAATTACACACACGACTTAATTTTATTTTTAGTAATTTTCTCTCTACATACTACCGAGAATTAAATGTTGAATAAAAGTAAAAGAAAAATATTTGGATGAAGAAATAACTACTATACAAAGTAGTTACTAAGCTAATATAAACAATACATTTTGATAAATAGATGCCCAACAAGGGAATCTGTAACTTCTGCTGTCTTTGCTTTCCAATTAAGCGAATTAGATAAGTATCTGACTCCAAAAACAGAATATATAGTAGGTTACGTGTTCAAATTGAGATATCTGTTAATTTTATATAACAGTAAGGATCTGACCAATTTGCCTGTAAAGATTTTTATTTCCACGGATAATATATCACAATAAATTTAATAAATTTACTTACAATAAAACACACTCACAATCGTGAAAACCAAGTCGGTGATGAATCAGCATTGTTGTATAGAACGAATTGAAACAGAAAAAAGCCGTGAAAACCACGATCAAATGTCTATTTAAACGGTAACATCTTTTTCATCTCGCTCGCCAAAAAACGGTACCTTTCTTTATTATCCTAAAATCTCGTTTCCCACGGAGCAATTTTTGCTCATATCTAGAATGTTCGGTACCCTTCTTACAATAATTACACTTGTTTATAGGTTACCTGACATGGGAAATGTCCATTTTCTCATACACGAGAAAGATCTAGACTCAATATTTCGAATGATCTAGAAAGATCTCTTCAATATTTCGGTTGTTTATGGGTCACCCGACATGGGAAAATATCCATTTTCTCATACACGAGAAAGACTAGAAAGATCTCTTCAATATTTCGATTACGTCAATTATTATATAGAATTTGACTTCCATTATCCAAATTATTGGTTAATTTGTTACACATTCCTGGCACCACAAGTGAAATATTTTAAAAGCACATATTAAAAATTAACCGATAATTGTAGAAATATAAGAATGAAATCGAAATTATCATGACAGTAATCAAATCTCGTAACTTTTGAAGATGGCAATTGAAATGTCAAAGTAATTTGTTTGAAAACTGTCGGATGAAGAGCAAAACATCCACTACGAAGAGCAAGAAAAAATGGTCGAGTGTAATTAATCAATAAGACATAAGACTCAGAAACGACAAGACAAATTCCTTAATTTTGGTTATTTAAAATGGCAATTGAAAGATTTATATACAAGACACATGAAATTTGAGCACTAATTATACATGCAAGAATTAAAAACATACAACTTAAGAACTCATTGTAGCCCCATTTATTATGATTCTGACTTGGGGTCTTTTCAAATTATACGGATGAGGCATTTGTATTGTGAAAGGCATTTGAATTGTGCAATTCAGTGAAACAGTAATGGTATTATTATACCTTCTTCTCACCTACACGACTTTCAAAATTGTGAGCACTTGTTTAATGTACGATTTACTATTAGATAAATTAGGCGATAATGACTTTAAAAAATGAAGAAAAGATGGTTTATTGATTCCCAAAAACAAAAAAAATCTTACAATATGACTGTATTGTAGGTCTTTACGTTTCAGTGATTGCAACTAGTATTGTTACTACTCATTCTACATTTAATTGTCTGTACCATTTGCAATAAAAATGGGGGGGGGAAAGATTTAGATGTAAAACACAATAATTTGTCATGAAATTTGAAAAATACAACAAATAGACGAGCGTTGTAAAACCAATAAAAGAATGCAACAATAAAATTAATTTTGAGACATCGGTACCGTGATATTTCCTATTAATCTCATAAATTCAATAAACTGCGGAAAGAATTAAGATAACTTTTGTGAAAACTTTGTGCACTTTATTCGGAGATAAAACTTGGTGGAGAAAACAAAAAAATGATTGGAGTACTCCATTTGGGGAATCATTGGTTGAAAAAAATGATTGAGGGAAAAAAAATAAGGCTTAAAAAACTTGTGAGCCTTTGGATCAAAAAAAAAAATGTTAAAAAAAGGTATTTATTTTCTTGATTATAATTTCTTGATTATGTAACCTGTCATTGTCTTTTATCAGGTCATAAGTTTTGTTTATCGCCGCGAGCGCTATAAATTTTTATTTATTCGCTTCCGCTATCCGACACGAGATTTATGACCTCGACATTCCACCATTGCTTCTGAGGTGTTGCATAGCATTGGCCCTCTCGTTTGCTGGGGGAGCTCTTTGCACCGGTGCCATCGGACGAGCTGTGGATGATTGGCGATGGGGGTTCGGCTTCTGGCTCCGCCACGGGACGACCAGAGACGGTCCCATCTATCCCTTTACTGGGGTACGCGTGACTCTCGGTTGGTGGTGGACATGCGTACGTCTGGAATGATTTCCGTTCGGTTCACGGGAGCGGGTACGTCGATATCTGGGGCCTTCCTGTTCTCTCGGAGTGCTTGTACGTCTGTCGGGAGGAGAGGGACGCAAAAATAATAGACAGAATTAGCCCGATCAGTATTACAATGGCAAGGAATTTATTGCCTATTCCACTAAGAAAAGATATCAATATTTTTTTAATATGTTTAGCTAGTATTTTCAGGGGAAGTGCAGGATTAGCACTAGTTGTTTCCTGTTCGTCATTAAAAGAATTGGCATAGTCAATTAGACTTTTAGTAAATATGGAATTCTGGCTTATGGACATTAGCATTGAATCTATGTCGTTAGAACGCGGTACGTCGTTCTTGAAGAATTTTGACAATGAAGTAAGATAATTTGTATTGTAAGGATTTATTTTCTTAGTTGTTAGGTAAGGGTGAATTTTCTTTGGGTTTGTGGTTTTTGTTTTGTAGAATTCCCTTTTGATAGCTATGATAAGTGTTATTCATTTTAAAGGTAACGAACTCCTGTGGTTCGGTACTATAAAAGTTTATACCTGGAAGAATTCTTCCCGAAGACAAGTATTGGGCGATAACTGTAGTGTTAGTGTTATCAATATAGTTAACTAAGGGACGAGTAGAATATAACTCGTTAGGTAATATTAGACTATTTAAGAGACTCGCTTTTATGGGTTGACACAAAAGGGTGCCCAGCACGTCGCCTCTGTTAACCGCAAAGAGATTATTTGTTCCCATAATTTCGTTCAACACATCCGACGGGTACGTTTTCGCTAAAACTCTATAAATTTTAGATAATATTCGTTCGGTCTCACATTCCAATTTAAAGATTTGGCTCTGTAATTTCGCGGACAGAGCGGT